TTTACAGTGTATGAGATAGGATATCATATCTTACAGTCTGGTTGCTGTCCAATGGTAGTTGATGATGACATTGATGTCAAAAGACTACAGTTCTCTAATTTAACCAATGGAAATACATTTACTACTAGAATTACTGGTCTTGATCCTATGTCTTGTCATATTTTTGGTGTACGTGCATACACAGACAGAGGACCTGGTGGATGGATCTTCATTGCTAATGAGACATTGATCAGTACTCAATTTGTGACACTAACATTAGTAAATACTCAAGAAGTAGGATCAACTAATACAGGTGTAATAATAATTGTTAAATGTTCAGACAAAAATGATCTCAAAAATTTCTTATTAATAGTATCAGGAGCTGTTGATAGTGCTAGTATTGGACTGGGTGTAGTAGTTGGATTACTACTGATATCACTTGCTGTTAGTATCATTATTAACATCTACTGCTTTCTCAAGTATGAATACATTAAAAACCATAAAATACAATTTCAGTGTTGCGTATGAACAGGCTTAAAACCTATGATACAACCACTGCTAAGCAAACAAAGTAAATAAACACTCATTAAAGACAAGTAAATGTTTGCACATTACTATTGTTTATGATAGGTTTGATGATGATATACCAATGCAAGCCTGTGAACCATATGGTATTCACAAGACTAAAGATGTTACAAGAGAGGCAGTATATGAGTGTCCTGATGTCAATGTTAATGATACTGCTATTTATGAAACATAACTAATGAAACTGTAAACACTAACAGTGGAATTTAATATACATGTACACTGTGTGTGTAATACAACTGTATAAAATGTCCATGTGCTTGTTTGTTCATTTCGTAGCTGGATAGTGAGACATAGATATATACTACATACATACTTTTCTAGATATACATTTCAGTTCTGGAGTGTCACTGTATTCATACTGAGTCCAGGGGAGTAGGAACCATTTTTCAATTGGGGGGGGGGGGCAAGACAGATTGTGTGTATGCATGTATATGTATGAGAAGGGGGGTCTGGGGGGTGCCCCCAGAAAAAGTTTTCAAAAAGGGCTGCTCTGAGAGCAGTTTTAAGATGCTTTTGAACTACAATTACAATCTCATAATGATTATTATGACAGCAAAAAGGAGGGTGACCTATCACCCCTATCACCCCCCCTAAGTACAGGCCTGTAATAAATCAAATCATTGGTTGATATTGAGGGGGCAATGCCCCCTCTGAAATAATATTGGGGGGGCAACTTGCCCCCCCTGCCCCCCCTGTTCCTACTCCCCTGGAGTCTATTACCGTATAGCTTGGTATTTTCGTGGGTCGATATTTTCGTGGTTTGCTCCTAGTGGGGCAATTCGTGGTTTATCGTGGTTGACAGTTTACATAACCTGTAAGGGGATGGCACTTCAATGATTTCGTGGGCAGCCCATAACCACGAAAACCACGAAATTTACAATCCACGAAAATTTCAAGCTATATGGTATACTGTATCACATTAGTGTTGTTGTAGCTACTTTTAGTCAAAATTTTGCAGTTTTTCTATTGATGTTATCTAATCAATGAAGTTTCAGTTACTTTATATAGTATGGTGTTATGTTAGTTGAAAGGTTAAAA